CGTTTTCTTTATTGTTACCATCGAAGTAGTAAAATTTATTCGAACCCTTATCTATGTTGGGAATGTTGTTGTAAGAGTGGAATCCAATCAGCGCTAAACCGTACTCTACATCTTCATCCAACTGCAGCGGATTGACAAAGTCGATGGATAATGTCGACGTGTTCCCTTTTAACGTAAATATGATCGACATGTTGACTGCTTATAGGTCCGCGATTTCAGTCCTTTTTATAGAGAAATTGCAAACACAAATGACCGCAATTGTATTGCGTAAACTTTTGATATCTATCGTGATTATAGTAGATATTGGCGCTGTTGCCGAAATATTTAACAAGTTCTGCGGGTGGTTTAAGGTTACCGAAACTGTCAAAATACTCAACATCGTTTCCCTTCCTCTTTTTGTATGCTACCCAGTGGGTTCCTCTATTTCGACGAACATCCAAATTTACGATTCCGCATTCTTGCGATCTGATTCGACGGGGTAAACTATCTCGCATAAAAACACCCCTGAAGTGAGGAATTTTTAATTTGCGCGCCAGAGATATTAAATCGACGTCGTATAGAGCCCTTCTGGGTAGCTTTATTGGGAGTTTTTTTGTTTCTTCAGATAAAGACCGAATCCGCCGCGCGGACTCTTTTTCAAGAATAGACCCGATCCCTTTTTTCCAATCTCTTCCATAGCTCGGTTATGGCGGTTGTCCTCTTCGAGTTTCTTTCGTGCGTTTTTCGCATCGATGACAGTTTTAGCGATAGCAGCGGCTCCGCCCGAGAGCGAACCTAAAGCCCCTAGCGCTCCTAATAACGGTAAAAGTGGTAAAATACCGCCCGATTTTGATTCGAACGGTATAATTCTAGGTACCCTAATATTTTTACGTCCTCCCGCTTTTCTTACAGCGGCTCTGCCAGCTCGAAGCGCTTCCAGTGCCGATCTTCTAAGCATTTTAGGGTTATCGATATGAAACAATTGTTTCTTCTTTAATGCATTGCGAACCTTTTTCACGACACCCTGTCGAAACGAAACAGAGGGACGCCGTTGTTGACCCATACCGAGCTTACGTTTAGTTTTCATAGTCGCGGTGACAAAGAATGCGGCAGCTTTTTCACCAAACTTTGCGTCTTTAGATTTTACTCGCTGCCACGCACGCGTTTCCAATTCTTTATCCGCTTTATGACGTTCGTCTAACGATTTGTTTTGCGAATAGGCAATGTCGTGTACCTTACACGCAGCGTCCAAAGGATTCACCCCGCTATCGCCTCGGTTCAAGCGTTTTTCCAATTTTGTACCGGGACCGCAAAACTGGTAACCCGGAATGTGTACTTCAAAAGGTAACTTGTTAATAAGCGTGTTAACGAGACCACTTCCGGACGCGAAGCATAACATACTAATTAAAGGAAATTGCTTGTGTCGTATATATATACGAGGTGTCTCGAATAAACATTGTAGTCATGCGGGTGGTGCAGCAGAAACTCAAGCTCCCCATCGATAATTTAGATTTGGTTTGCGGAGATGGTTTCTTTAACAAAAGCAAACACGGTCAACTGCTACCCAATTCATTTAGGGCGGTGTTTTGCGGACCTAGCGGTTGCGGCAAAACCAACACCATGTTAGCGCTACTCTTTAACCCCAACGGGGCAAGTTTCGAAAATGTTTACGTCTACTCAAAGTCGTTGTATCAACCAAAATATCAACTGTTATCTCGCGTATTGAGCAATGTCAAAGGAGTTGGATATTATCCCTACAGTGAAAGAGACTCGATAATCGACCCCAGCGACGCGAAAGAGAATTCTCTGTTTATTTTCGACGACGTGGCGTGCGACAAGCAAGATAAAATTCGCGAGTATTTTTCGATGTGCCGACACAAGGCCATCGACGCTATTTATCTCTGTCAGACATACTCCAAGGTACCCAAGCAATTGATACGTGACAATTGCAATATTGTCGCGTTGTTTAAACAGGATGACATGAATTTACGTCACGTTTATGATGAACATGTCTCACCCGACGTTTCATACGACACGTTTAAACAAATTTGTTCCGAGTGCTGGAAAGAAAAGTACGGCTGTTTGATAATTGTCAAAGATTTCGACGTAAAAAACGGACGCTACCGCAAGGGTTTCGACAAATATATAAAAGTCGATATTTAATTGTCGATAGAAACAGTCATGAAGGCGACGTCCGCCGACATCGCCGACGCGGCGCTAAAAAAAAAAGTAAACGAGTTGTCTAGATCTATTCGAAAGAAGTATTTAACATTAAAATTGGGTAAGAGCGAAGAGGATGCGTCAATTCGGAAGCTTTTCAAACCCGTCAGCGAGCCGCTAGAACGTATAGCAAAAATAAAGCTATCACCGTCACCGGCAGAAATAAAAACTGAACGTCGAGGTGTCAAGCGGGAACACAAAAAGGAACCGAACGAAGAAACAAAAAATAAGGTTAACGTATCATTTTTGCCTATGGAAGAAATTCAGGAAACGCCGGATCCCAATAAGAGCGTTGAGATGCAAAATATCGATGAGGAGGAAGATGATGTGTTTGACACATCGAGCGTGGCCAACGCATCCCTTCAATCATACCTGGAACAATATCCAGAAATTTCCCATTCATATATTCAAAATTTATGGGTAAAATCGCCCGACACCGATATTGTTTACGGACCCGTTTACGACAAAATATCATCCAAATGGTTTCTCGGCAATAAATCGCTGGATTTTCATCAAGGATCTGGCGATATTATTGTAGACGGCGAGAGATATTCCGGTACCCGCGGCTTGTATAATTTGGTGTTTTTAAAAGATCCCATAGCATACACAAAAGACGATTTGGCACAATATAAAAAAATAATGGAGGCTACCCAGGTGCACAGGGACGCGATCGGACGTCTGAAAGGCGCATCGACTGTACCAAAATATACCAAGGTCATCCGACCCTTAATAAAATCTCAGTCGCGTTCGTACTCGTACAGCGGTCAAGGTTATAATATGCGTTATAATGACGCTCCTACTGAATATGTATACTGGGACGACGTCAATGAACTCGTAGAGCGTCTGAAATTACTAATCGCGTCGAAACACGCAGGCAACACGTCTCATGATAACGAAATAGTTTCAATCGTTGAAGAGCTAAAAGAATCAGGTTTTATACGTTAGTTTAACGATGAGTCTGGACAAGTTTGGACGTTCTAGCGCGCTGCGCTCTAAACGACCCTTCACTAATACTGTGATTAGAAGCGCCCTCGACTATATGCCAGACGGAAACGTCAATATGAACAATTTAAAAATTTGCAATGTCCAAACGCCTAGCGATGACGGTGACGTGGCTAACAAAAAATATGTGGATGAGACAAGTAATTTATTAAAAATTGCATTGAGAAAGATTATTGGACAGAAACTCGAAGCGTACACGAAAAGATTACAAATTGAAGACAAAACTAAATTCTCGCGTCTTGAAGAACAACTGAAAATGAGTAGCACTACACTCGAAAATGAAATTATGCAGTTTCGCGAAGTTTTCCACCAAAAGCTAAGCGAAATGAGCGCAAAGAAAGATTTGGAAAAGCACATGACAAAAGTCGCCGTTTTGTCACAGCAATTTCATGATATTGTAACCAAAATGGAGCGACTTACGAACGAAAATGAGAATATAATGAAGGTATTGAAACAAAGGGTTTTAAATCCTCCATCGCAACCGAACACACATTATGAATAAAGAGAAGGTACAACTGGTTCGAGAACTGCACAAGCCGGCACGCAGAAATTATGCTCGCCGCCGGACTATAATACGAGGGATGGATGACCTGTGGCAAGCGGATCTGGCCCAATTAGATCGCTACAGCAAACAAAACAGAAATTTTAAATTCGTGCTGGTTGTGATAGACTGTTTCTCAAAATATGTATGGTGTCGCCCGTTGAAAACCAAAACCGGGGTCGAAGTCGCCAAGGCGTTTTCCAAAATTCTCAAGGACGGACGGCACCCTCAAAACTTGCAAACGGATCTCGGTAAAGAATTTTACAACGACACGTTTCTGAAACTTGTGGATAAGCATAAAATTAACCACTATAGTACGTATAGCATAAAAAAGGCCTCAATTGTCGAACGGGTGATACGTACCCTCAAAGAGAAATTGTTTCGACATTTTTCTTTACGCGGGACGTACAAATGGATCGATGTGCTCGCCTCTATCGTTGATGAATACAATAACACAAAACATAGAACGACGGGTACGAAACCCATCGATGTGAGTAAGAGCAACGAAAAGAGAATTTTGAAAACCGCGTATAGTAGCATAAAAATATTCGGTCCTCGTAAACTTAAAGTCGGCGACATCGTTAGAATCAGCAAAGTCAAGCACGTTTTCAACAAAGGTTATACACCGAATTGGACCACGGAATTGTTTAAAATTGTTAAAGTACGGGTTACTAACCCCGTAACGTATTTGCTTCAAGATATGCAGGGTAAACCCATAATGGGCGGATTTTATGAAGAAGAATTGCAGAAGACAGTTAACCCGGACTTATATCTCGTCGAAAAGGTGTTGCGCAGACGAGGCAATATGGTTCTCGTGCGCTGGTTGGGATTGGATAAGTCGCACGATTCGTGGGTAGACAACGTAGACGTTTTGAAATAAATTTAGTCTCGATTTAGAAGTTCTGACATAAATACGTGTATATGATGGCTCAAGAGAAAATTGTGACATCCAACGAATTGTATAATTTATTGGAAAATTTCGAGTTGCAATTTCCTTCATCAGAAGTGCTCCCGTCCAGCTTCGTTCCTGTAGAGCAACAAACCAAAAAATCTGCGACCAAACGAAAACAAAGTGCGTCGGTCGTATCCCGCAAGAAGAAGAAGAAAACTACCACAAGTGAAGCGTTTGCAGCTCCAACGTCATCCGCTGATTGGCTCGAAGTGTTCACGGACGGTAGAGAAAAAAGTGTCATTTGTGAGGCATTCAATTTAAAAAGAAACTTGGCGTCTCAGTTGTCGGGATTAGAGTGCAATATCAACGAAATTGAAACACAAATTGCGCTTTTTAATACAGACTTGCAAGTGGCGCGGATGCAAGCTCAAGAGTGCAAAAGAAAACTAGAACAATTTAATAATTTAGCATTTAACGAAATTGTAAAATAGTAATAATGTATATAATAAATAAATTATACAATTACAAACTTCTGTGTAATTATTATGCGGTGTTGTGGTGGTGGTAAAAAAGAAAATAGCGTCTAAATATATACATGTTTATTCTTGTTGCAATACAATGGCATACAATCAATACATAAAAGCCTTATCTACAGTTACATATGTTATAATAAAACCACAGTATTAATAGTTCAATGTGCTATCAGAAAAGCGTAACTTTTTTCCATATTTCCTCTCATCGTGAAGCATTAAATTACATTCATCTTCAGTTTCTACAGTGAACAAAACTTCTTCAAAGCAGCTTTGACACCAAAATTGTTTATCGTGATATACATCATTCAAATTATTTATATCCAGCTGTAAATGATAGTGATCCAATAAAAGTCTAAAATTTTTCTTTTTAAATTTTTTAACTACTTGAAATATAAAGTGACAAGATTTACAAACTAAAATTTCCGAATATTTTATCCTGTAATAACTGACCCATAAACAGTAAGCGGATTCTCCGTCAAAATCAATGGTTGGAGTTGCCAAAATGCTATTTCTGTAAGACGATCCAAATCTCTTATTCAACAGAATGAATTCTAAATTTAATAAAGAATTGCCATCAGACTGGAGCGCTAGTTGTTTAAGGTACCTCCATCTATATTTCGAATAATATTTAAATATTAGTATCGTTAGTTTCCAAGGCAAAGGTGACTCAAGCAAAAAATCAGCACTACACCTAATATTTTCGCAAATTGTTATAATACAAAGGCTTTCTAATGTAAGTTGCTTGACCATAATCTGTAACAAAAATATATTAAAAAATAATTACGGCACTTTATAATGTCCCCACGGAAGCGTTTCATATGAATTCGGCAAAAGATAACGTTTATCGTCTAAAGGACTCAAGGCAACTTTTGTTTGTTCGATGCTAAATACATTGTGAGTGTATGAACGAATGGTTCGTTGAGTGGCGTACTTTTCCCTAAAATTTGTTAAGCATTCTACGTAGTCATCAAATGAAATTTTATTTTTTACAATATTGTACTGAATACCCTTTGACTTTTTAACTACCGAACCCGTTAAAATTTTGAAAGTATACATTTTCGACCTTAACCCAGCATAATGACTAATGATGGTGCCATTAGTCTCATCCTTCATCAACCCCAAAACCTTTTTGTTGATTTGCGGTATATTATAGGGATTGTCATTAGGATAATCAGACGTGTCAAATTTTGTTAAATCGGCCTTAATAACGCTTTCATATGCGTCATAACATTTGATATTATAAATGAAACTGTCCGTATCCATGTATTGAATTTTACATTTTTCGGGACCCAAATTTGGAAGCATGTAATTATAATGAAACTCGTACATGGTCGTTTTCGACAAATCCAATATGGACATTCCAATATAAAGTGGCTTATTAAAGCAAAGTTCCGATTTTTTTAATTCTATAAGCAACAAATTGTTATCAAGTATGGTTCTACTGTGAAATCTAGGACTAGAAATTAAATTTTTCGCACCGTAGCGACCATCCCACGCTTTAACAAATTTAACAATACGATGCTTGCGAATGTTTTCCATTGTTTTACCGTAAGCGGCATTATTAAACAATTTGTATAAATTTATACCAAATTTTGTCTTTGCTTGGGTTCTTAATTTATTATTATGATCGATATAACATTTCAACCAACGAGATTGGTTAAATTTTAATATTTTGTGAATTTTCTTTAGTACGAGACCGTTTTTGAGAGCCTGTTTTAAATTGCGATAGTGTATGACGTATTTTTCTTTATTATACAAAGTAGTCATTAGTTTTGGTAACTTTGAATTGGGGGGCACTCGATGTTCGGCACAAAATGGAAAATCTCTATGTGTGTCATGTAATTTCTGCGGGTATTCCAGGTCTACCTCTAGGATATATCCTTGGGAAGATTCATCTGGAATGTTCATGACATTAAATGAATCAATCTCTTGATGAGACATCCAGTCGAATCCTCCGTAAGGAAGAGGCTCGCACATGGCCTTGCCATAGAGGTTATTGACGTCAAAGTACATGATATAGGAATCATCCCTGGATGAATCGTAGTTGGGCATATATTTATTGTTGGCCTCCGCATATCTACCAACACACACCGAAATTCCACCTCGTATAGCCCGCTCGATAAACATAATTTGGTCAATGTCGCGCAAAAGTTCTAAACGACATTTTGTGAATCTAAGCATGCAATCCCATGTATACCCGGGCATACTGAAATACCACGCCGGATCCAAAACGTGTGTTGCCATACAAGTTTTTCGAAAATTTTCGAATATATCTGCCAGAAGAATAACGTCGGTTTTTAAATACAAATCTGAATACTCGCCTAAATTTTTTATTTCAAACGACTGCCAAACACTTTGTGCGTGGGAATATTTTTCTTCACTAATATTGCTTTCACTTAATTTATTATAGAATTCTTCAATCGGGGGTAAAGTTGTTTCATTTAATTTGTCTATATGGTCGATGTAATCGTAACAAAAAATACCTTTTTGCGACAGTAAATTTAATTTTGATTCGTCGAGATCGGAAAATTCTTTTCTTAAAATATATAGTTCATTTTTATCCATACTGGAAACTAAATTATCCAGAGATGCTCCCAAAAATCTAAACGAATCTATAAATCTAAATTTTATGTTATAATCAGGTTCGAAATATGTAAAAGAGATGTATTTTTCCTTATTAACCGGAACTATGGATACATAGCTTTTTTTTGCTAAAACCGGAAGCAGGAAGTGGCTATCGTATCCAGAAAGGTTCTGGAATACTACGGGCACTACAAATATTTTTTTAAAATTTAAATTACAAGCCTGATGGGCAAAACCTCTAAATTTACCAGTAAAATGATCATGGTCACGAACAATAACATCTTCTTTTAAAAAAGGTTTTTCACAAATATGACAATGACTCGACCTTTGATCTAGACTAATTTCACTATCCATTGGTATAATATCCTTAAATTTTGAACGAACAAATTTTGATAAATTAGATATTTCCTCCACGAACCAATCAATACAATCTAGACCACGATAACTTTTGAAAAATGATATTGAATCATCATAAGAACATTTAAAGTAATATGCAGCACTGTAAGCTTCGTGCTTTTGGTATTTCGAGGTTTTATCTGAAATTTTCAAATTTACTTTTCTCAATTGACTCTCAAAATCGGCGTAAATTACAAACGGAGTCCTTTGTTTATATATATGGTTTCGAAATTCAACGTAATCATATTTGGGAAAAGACACTTTATACTCATTGAAACTGGAACATATTGTTTCGTGGTCATGTAGACGAGTTTCGTTATTGAAATAATTCAAACACCTATCGCAAATGTATTTCTTGTGATTATATTTACTGAGCTGTGAGGAAACTAATCGAGACAAATTTTTAATGTAACAATAGTGATATTTTATTTCTTCATAATCATTATCTTGCGGATCAGGATCAAAATCATTAACTTTTGGATAATATTTATTTTGTATTAACAACAAATTTGAATGTTTTTCGCGTTTTTCTTTTGTTAATCGTGCAGGTAACACGGAATAAAAACTAGTTTTTTCATTTTTATTAAGCTCTAAGATATAAACATTGATGGAAATATCATTGTCTTTTTCAAATTTGCTTATTTTATTCATTTCCATAGGTGTTTGTAAATTTTCAGTTTTCAAAACACTTTTGTAGTATGGATATGAAGAGGGTAAATACTGACGAAAACGTGCTGGAAAGAGTCCGCATACAACTGACCAATAAAAACACGCTTGATCGTCATTTCTAATGTTAATACAAGCCCTTTTATTCGCAATTTCTTTAGGCAACTCAACGAAGGATGACCCGTTACCCATTTCAAATTTATTAATGTTAATCTCTAAATAAATAATATTATTTAAAGCCCACCCGGAATCACGTTCCTGAAACTCTGACATTTGATTTAAAATTTTATCTTGCACATTTTCAACAAACCAATCATTCAATTCTGTTCCTAAATCAACTACAGCATTTCCGGTACTCAGATATTTAACATCAACTTCGCCTTGGACATCATTTTTTGCCTTAATAAATTCACCGCAAAATGTGGTATTTACTTTCAGCAATAAAAATTTCTTTAAAATTTGACTAATTTTTTGTTGAAATATTGGACGAGAATCGTTTAAAAATTGAATTAAATCTTTATGAAGTAAATTAATTATGACACCAGTCTGAACTCTTCCCTGGAAACACGACGCTACCGATTCCCATACAACCATTTCATTTGTGTTTGTCTCGCGGCTACTACTTTGTAATCCCAATCCAAAATGCTTATGTTGATAATTAAGAATAATTTTTCTAATAGCTTTCAGATGTTGAATTGTAGTTTGTAATTTTCTTTTTAACCCAATAGATAAATCCTTTTCGTTAGAAACGATTTGGTTGCAAGATTCAATATTTTTATTTAGTCTCCTAAGCCACACATCACTATCTCTAAGAGTGAACTTGTCGGAAATATGCTTTTTTAATTTTTGTAAGGTTAAAATTAAGATTTGCGCTCTATGAATGATCTGCTTTACGCGCATCGTGGTTTATTAAATATATAACAGTAAATAAGACTTACCCTGTATAATATGTTGATTAATTTTGAATTATTTTGAATTTCTTTAAAGAGTTGGGCTTTCCAATATCTTTGGATCCCTCGTAGACCAGTTTGTACTGCCCCGACGCAAAGTGTTCTAGTCTCGGACGGAAAGCTTCTGTCACGCGAGTAGGAAGAAATACTACGGAATTTTCTAATTGCAGCAACACGGAATTGCCAAATTTTGTATTAACAATTTTGGCTCTAGTAATTTTAAACGGAACGCCTATCGGCAATTCATGCAGTTTGACAATCGGCTGCTCAAAATCACCTTCTGCAAGACAGGTTTGATTCAGTTGACTTAAGTCCATCTATAAATTATTATTAATTATTTTATCTCAAAATTAAAAAAATAAAAAAAAACTTACGCTTAAGATTGCTGCTATTCTATTTGCGGTTACGGGTTGAGAGTACTAAGATGATCTTTAGGACCTTTATAAAATAATAACAAATGTTAAAGAATTAAAATAAGACAATAAAAAAGGTACTTACTGCTTTTTTGTACGAACACCAAACCACTAAGTTAGCTTCCACGTTGCACGAATAATACCAAAAACAACTACTGACAAAACAGAGAAAAATGAGATGTATTTATACGGTGCGAGAATACTTTCTAAAAGTTAACAAACGAAGACACCTCCACATGCGTTGCAACAAATTTTTCCCATTACGTTAATCCCACGGAGCAAATATAAAGGGGGCAATTAATTATTATTCTCAACAAGCAAAACAACTTGACATTTAGACTCGGCGCGTTTTGAAATTCCACATCCCATACGGAGATTGTAAAAAATGAAAGCAAGTTGGCCTTGATCTTTTGCGGCAACATACGTTCGTCCAACGTCCGAAACGGTTGCGTTCCCGTGTGAAAGCGTGTTGACCTTGAGACTCCTACCTGCACGGTTGTCTGGCGACAACATCGCGTCTATTCAAATCGGTGTTGGTGCTTGTGGGTAGAAGACCTTTCGACTTTTAATTCAACCATGGAAGGGAGTGCATGTGTATAAATACGTTGCATGTGTATTATAGACTATATTCAGTGCAATGAATACAGAAGTGCGATGTCCATTTCCCTACGACCCTACAACTGGTAAGTTTTATATTTTAATTACCTTTATACAGTGCGCGTCTTTTCTTGTGGGTTTCAGTTTGGGTTATCACTTTTTTGGTTAGTTTCTACCTGTTTTTAAAATATGATACTCATCTTTTTTACGTTGCATAATAACCGATTTAAATTGAGTGTTTTTAATAGCTTTTAAATGACAGTGAATGGAAAAGGGAATTTTGGCTTTTAAAAAATAAACAATTTTTAAATTTGTTTCAAAAATGTTTTATTTTTTGTACTAAAAAATTGCAGTTTGCCTTTTTGACAATAATAATCGAATTAAATTGAGCGTTTTTAATATCTTTTAAATGACAGTGAATAGGGAATTTTGGCTTTTAAAAAATAAACAATTTTTAAAATTACTGAAAGTTTTGTTTCAAAAATGTGCGTTTTATGGGGAAAACGCGAAATATATACATATTTTTGTTTATTTTTTGTACTAAAAAATTGCAGTTTGCCCTTTTGACAATAATACACTTACATTTAAATGACAGTGAATTGAAACGTGAATTTTAGTATGCGCGTATAACTTAAAAAACAATTTTTAAAATTATTTGATAACCCCCCTTTTTGGAAGTTTTGTTTAAAAAAAAAAAATGTGTGTTTTATAGGAAACGCTACATATCATACTTTGTTTTGTTCTAGAAAAAATCGCGGTTTGTCCGTATAACAAGTCGCATATTATGTTGGCGCATCGCTTAGGGCGTCACATATTCAAATCACACAAAGAGTACCGGGGGTTAGAATTCCCGGTACGACATGAAACGACAAGGGAACATCACCAGCAGCAGGAGCAACCCGGTGGATCAAAAGAAACAAAGGAGCAGCAGGAGTACCCGGGTGGGTGGTCGACGGAGTGGGACGGCGAGGAGTGCACTTCGTATTTAGATTTCCTCCGGGAACGGGAAGAAGAACAACGCAAGGAACAGGAACAATGGGATGGTCGACTGAATCGACATAAAAAGAAGAAGAAACTCCTCGCCAGACCAATTTTATAAATAAAATAAAATGTATTAAAATTCAAGTTTATTTAATTATCCTCCCGATCCACCGCGTCACCGCGCCGCACCGTCACCGCCCTCTACCGGGGGGGCCTACGACGGTCGGAGCGCGCGACATCTAGCAGCGACGGGCGGAACCGGGGCAAAACAGGACGCTACACAAGCTGGCGACATCTAGCAGCGACGGGCGGAACCGGGGCAAAACAGGACACTACACAAGCTGGGTGGGGGGCGGAGCGCACTCTGGTAGACAGGGGGGACACTAGGACGCCACGCGCGGGGGGCCCCCGCTGCGGGGGGGTTAGGAAATTGAGGTTATGTACGGTTTCTGTTGCTTATATCGGCACTATACATCTACTCACAGTTAAAAACAATAAGAATTTGCTCGTGAAACCGCACCTCTCTATGCTACGCATGACTGGTTATCGTGTGACAATCGTTATGATAATATGGAAGATCTCAGATGGCAGTAACCAGTAACCAGTAAACTTTAATAATTGTCTTTTCTGTCTTGGCAGTTAACACTAGCAGCGACTTCACTTTGTTCTACTGTATTGGCAAATATCAACAGTTCCAGAATCTATAACGATCAATTTGTATTTTAAACAGTCGCCGTAACTTTAAATACCACGGAGAAAGGACTCCTGACCTACCAATAAAGTAGATCAGGAAAGATCAAAAATGGAAAATGCTTTTGTCATATAACCCACAATGTCAAGAAGTTAATTGCTAAAATCATGAATAAAGGTTTGTTTCCATATTTAATAATTCCATACCGAAAAATTGATTTTGTTTCACATAGAGTTTGGACACATTAATACTGCATTATTCTAGTAAGAAAGCATTAAATAGACATCAATCGAATGCTCTAAATTCTAAAACAAGGCTGTAACCACAGAAAAAAATTTTTGCAGAAAACATGTTTCTTAAATACTGATACAAAATATAAGGATTTAAATTGATTATTAGATCAATTTGACAAACATTTTCACTTTAATATAGAACAGAGAACAAATAACTTCATACTTTAGTCATTCAGGTTAAGAAGGTTGTCACATAGTAGAACAAGCTTACAATAGGCTAGGTATAGAATTGTTCAAATAAATTTACATTTATCTACTGAGTTTGTTTTTTTCGCTTTTTTAATCGGAACAACAGGGTTGAATCGTGACTGTTTTGTATGGGTTCTCATAATTTCTGAGAGAAGCTAAATAATTCCGCCCAATGGTTAACTTCAACTCAGTATTCTAATATAGTCAGGAAAAGAGCAAATACTAACTAAAACTAATAAAAAAATACTTTTTCCTAAGAAAAACGGATTTATGCTATTCGAGACTTAAATTTTCTGGCAATTTTGGTCAGCTTTGATTAATTTTTGTTCCTTTCTTTTTAAGTTAAGCCAAGCTAGTAAGAAATTGTCTCCAACAAAACCATTCTTACCTCATAGCAAAAACTGAAATATAAATGTCGACATCAAAAAACGTAAATATTGGCAATGGTTGGTTAGATATCACAGACGGCACAGTTAGTCGAAAAGAAAAACCGGAACGCGCCAATATACAAATTATTAGTGTAATGGTATGTAAATAGGGACTTTGTTATTGTAAAAAAATAAGTTTCAACCTCCATTAAGTTCTTACGCAGAGTGACTTGTTTAATTTAACCGTTTAAAACATATTGCACACAATAACAAGATGAATTAAACCCGAATATAGCCACGGTCGCATTAATTAAGACGTACATTAACCCACGTCATAAAGAGAAGAGGCATAAAAATCTGAAACTACGCGATTTGACTGCATAATGAAATAATTTTGCGGATATGTAGAATATACGTAGTCAGATATCAAAGGTAAATGTCAACGCCGAAGTGACTCAACTCTCAGATATCTCTTTTCTCTTACGTTCCACCCACCGAGAATCCTAAATACTGTAGAAATAATATCAACGAACGGCTTTAAACCGACCATAAATCGGAGCCCAACGAAATTTACCGTGGTTTAACGGGACAATTTAAAATATATTTAAGCGCGGACTATAAAATGGGCGGGCTCCTCCCTGAAATTTTAACAAATTGCCAGTATCCATGCGTTGTTTTATGTCCAATTATTTTAACTTCTGTTTTATACTTTACCGCGTATGCATTTATAATCTCATAATACGCCTTTTGGGTGAGGCAGCAGAATTTCATTTAAAACTGAAATATACGACGTTAGTCACGGTACGCTGGATTTTGTAAGAGATCGTTTGAAAATTATCATTTATTTAATTTACGTTTGTTTCGGTATTGTGTTCTTTAATTGTTTAATACATTCGGGTTAATTCATTTGGGAGAAATATGGGCAGACAGTATGTTGAACAAAGCGTAGAAATCGGAAGAAATGATTGCACACTTCTATAGATTCCTAACGCACAGGGTAGGGGCTACAAAGAACAAAAAACCTTATTCCATATACATCTTATACATATACATCCTGAAATTAGTTGAAGTGTATCAAAAATAAAAGTTATGAGTATCGTTTAATTTGCCGCGAAATTTAAGAAGAAAAGGAAATAAACTTCCATTATTCATTATTCAAATTATTGCTAATGTTTATGTCAAATCCGCCTTCGTGATCAGTACATTTTGGCGACACTTAAAAACAAGAAGGATGCTATGGATGAACTATGGATGCTACGCACGATTGGTTATCGTGTGAAAATCATTATGATAATATGGAAGATCTCAGATGACAGTAACCAGTAAACTTTAATAGTTTGAAAAGTAAATGTGACTAATTTGCCCATGTCATTTTTGTCTTGTCCGTTAACACTAGCGGCCACTTCACTTTGTTCTGCTGTATTGGCAAATATCAACAGTTCCATAATCTATAACGATCAATTTGTATTATAAACGGTCGCCGTAACTTTAGATCCTGATCTGCATTAGGTATATAATTGACACATGGATAAAATAGAGATCTAAAATGACATGATACCTAGAAATTTTTTTTTTGTTTTGAATAGCTTTTGCCTGAAATATCTGCAAATCTACAATTTTTAATAACAATCTGTTAGACCACTTAACCTCAAAGTTGTCGAAGCTCGAAGACCGTCCTTAAGATGGCAGAAGTTGAGAAATTTGATGCCAGTGTTGAAAATCAAGGGCCAGGTCAGCAACACAATGACCTCTGCTGGTTTTAGTCTTTGATCTCAAGGTCCAGTCTGGTGTGATATGGAGTGGAGGGGAGGATGATATGATTCAATGGCGGTTACTTAAATTAGCACTTCTGCTGCTTGCCTGTCGATGAACATTAATGAGACATTATTTTGTTCTGGTTTGAGAATCCAGTCACTTTGTATGTGTAGATGATAAAATGACCCGATGGTGCTTGAACCGGAGCTATATGTGGATTAACAGAGAGTCTACTGACAAGTGAATCGAATAGTACATAGTAGGGCGCTAGTGGACAGACAGTGCCAAGAAGCTACCTCCATATAGTTGGAGATACAATGAGAGCGGATATAAGCTGTATTTTGAGGTGAAAAGTTACCGGCATGACCAAGAGATAGCACCACCAAGTCTACTTTTGGAGCGGTGACCTACAGTACCATTCCTACTTAGTTTGTATGTACACCGTGTGCCAAATAAAACGATCCACTATACGATCTGGAAACCCATAGGAGATACGAAAAAAAGTGTCGTGCAAAAGTTTCTTGGACTCTCCTGAAGATTTAAAATATAATTTTGTTGGTACGGGGTGTCCCAAAAGTGTCGCCCCCGACATCAACTTTGTTATTTTAAATGAAACGTCCTGTATATTTCGACATTTTTGGAA